TGTCCAACATTCGCGGCGATATAAATGGCCACCCGCATGTTTTTAGACTATCCATCGTACCAAGGAGCCTCATGACTTTGGTAGGCAGCACCCTCGGGTCCCCGGTGAAGCAAAAATTGCCCAGTCGATCGAGAGCAGCGACGCCTTCGGAGAGAGCCATACCTAGTCCTTTCGACCCAGCCTCGCGAAAGCGACGGTCCATTTCTGCTATGGCTGCTTCCATAACCCTGGCAAAAGCCACCATGACTCCTGGAAAGATATCAGGGTTGAAACGCCGGAGGATGCCTGCATAGAGCTGTTTCTCCTTGAGGAAGAGACGCATGAGCTGAAAAATGGGTTGTAGTACGCTACTGAAGTTTCGACGGCGGCGCACGAGTCGTGGGGCATCGATGGAAATGACCTGCTCGAATCGGAACGCAAACTCATTCGCTTGCATGGCTGCTTCCACCCTCTGTCGCTCCCGCGCAAAAGGTGTCGATGCGCCAGGGTTGTCAGGTGTGAGTCGCCCCCTCACCTGGGCCAGGAGCCGCTGCTGCTTGTCCTTGAGCCGCGCCGTGCGCTGAGCCTCCGTCGAGGGAATGGTGAGTGCAGCTGTGGCGAGGCCGTGGCTGGCTAGTAGGTCGTGAGGGCCATGACGGATAGACCGTTTTAGGTTGGAATAGCCCTGGAAGAAGCCAAACGAAAGTACGTCGGCACCCTGGTTCTGGTGACTCATGTTCTCTTTCATGACAGTAAACAGGTCGTTATCCAGGAAGGCAGGGGGACGATCCGATGTGAAGTTGCCGTATGCGGGGTGGAAGCCGAGTGGGTAAAAGGTGTAGTTACTCCCGTAAAACTCCCCGGCCACACGGTTGCGGTCGGCAAGCAAGCATACAGGACGGCTTACCCTTCCTTCTGTGCCGGGATACGTATTTTCTGCGGTACAGTGAACATCAACAGCTAGGGCATAGGAGACGTGGCTGATGTTATCGAGGTTGTACTTCGCCTCAAGGGCCTCGCGCAACCGCATCAGGCCGGGACTATACAACGCATCATGTTCTCTCTGGTCCTCCGTTGCTGGTATCGATGCTGATGAAGGAGGTAGACTGGCTGGCGAGATGTCTGGTGCTTGCCTTGGATGGACGTCGTCGTTGCCGTCAGTATCTGGGCTCAACGGCTGCTGCTGGGAGTTGTCTTGCCCATCATATTGATGCTCCTGATCTTGTAGTTGAGTCCCGTTGTCTTGGCCTATATCAGTGTTCTCAGATTCGTTCATCCATTCAAGGAACCTCCGCTCCCGCTCTTCATCACCATTGGGCCCGTTCGCGTCGACTTCGCCATCAATATCTCGATATTCCGCATCGATGATTCGCCCTGGACTGAGGATAGGTGGTATTGGAGAAGCAACATCGTCCACCCTCTC